CGTGGACTGCTCGATCCAAGACCCTATGTATGTGCATACATACATATATGTGCATGTTTGTATATATGTGTACGTATATATATATATATATACACACATACATATACACAACAAAAACGAGAACAACAACATACACATTTACATGTAGATGTAGATATACACGATACAGGTACATATACAAAACCATATACACACACACACACATAAAAAGTTCAGTTGAGTAGTAGATTGCATTCAAATGCCCTTTGCTACACTACGAACCCAAACCAATCTCTAAAGCCCGCACCAACATCACAGTCCGCATCTCAAAGTTTTTGGCAGGGACCCTCAAGCCTCAGCTCTGAATCGTACAGCCTGAACCCGAAACCTTAAACAAGAGTCGTTCCAAAAGCATCGCAACGCGCTGGTAATCGTTCGTGCGCAGAGCAGTACATCTGAAGACACAGGGAACCCCCGGCACAGATTGCAAGGGTAGATAGGGTTGAGGGTGCGGGAGTATGGGGTTCAGGGTTTAGGGTTTACGGTTTCGTAAGACTTTAGCGGGAGCCCGGCTGCGCTGCCCTGCTTTCATGCCTTTTTCCATAAGTCCGAGATTCGCTCGAGCCAAGCATTTTAGGGTTTAGGGTTTGGGGTTCTATGAAGTCTTGCTTTGAGTCACCCTAACCGTTTTCCACCCTCATCACTCAATCCTAGATCGTGAACCCTGAGCCCAAACCCTGCACCCTGAAGTCTGCGTGCCTGAAAGGTGGACTCCTACAGGTCGCCTTGGCCCATCCGCGGCTGCAGCGAGTGAGGTGGGCCTTTTGAACACTGCGCACACGGCACTGTACTATAGGGGTCGCAATCAGGTAGAGGGTTCATCGGGGTTTGGGGATGAAGGAAACTTCTGACCCGCCAGAACTCCTTGTCTGGAAGGCGTGTCTGCATGAGGGCCTTCTGCCCCGATGTGCCCCTGCTGCAGCAGCAGTTGCAGCGCGAGGTGGAGTATCACTACAAGGCTCACAGTGGCCACTTGAGGGTTGCAGCGCGAAGAAGCAGATCGATACAAATACTGCGAGGAATCATAAGTCGCTTTCGAGAGTTTCAAACAATCTGCAGGAGTGGCACCATCATATATGATACTTATTATCATCATCAGCCTCATCTTCCCACTGCCACTGCCACTCTCACTACTTCATTGCTTCTTCTTCTGCCGGCCCTACGACCAGCACCAGAACCATCACCACATGTGATGCTACTCCCATGTGTTGGCCCGCTCTAACAGCATGATTTCCACCCGTCAAAATGAAGATCGCGAAGCCAAGAAGAATTCTGGATCTGAGGCTAGCATACTAAATAAGACCTTGTCGCTGGTCCTCTCCATTCCTACACCAGGACAGAACAGTTAGCACATGTCATTCGGACGGTGACAGATGGCGAAGCATCTTTAGCTCAATCGCCGAAGCGTTTAATTTCAAGCCTTTACAGTTGCCTGATCCCTGTACAGCCCGTATACGACACCACGAAGCCCTTACAGAATCACCTTCTGAACCCACAGCATGAAAACCTCAAGGCCACACTCTGCACCTGTACCTTTAAGGCTCTAAGCGCTGAACTCTAAACCCTAGCATGTGTATATGTATACATGTACCCCTGCACGCATGTATATATATATATACACACACACACATATTTGTATGTGTGTATGTAGGTGTGTATGTATGTATGCCTATAAGTAGCTAATTCTGTAAACTTACTGAATTACTTAAACATTTATTACTCATTTGATTAAGTAGCTAGTTAATTATTGATTAAGCAAGTATGTATGTAAGTATGTATGTTTGTATGTATGTGCAGTTCCTTTAGTACCAGGTAATAATAAGAATGCCAGCAAAGAGAACATTTTTCATTACTACCGGTGTTATGGCTGGCATTATGATGATCAGTGCTACTGATATTATACTGATATTTCTAACGGCTGTACTATGTTTAGACATTAGAACAAGCATTGTTACGACTTTGTGCATTCCTGTATCGATTCTCGGCCACACCCTAAAGCCTAACCCCAAAAGCACTAAACCCCCAAACCCCTAAACTCCAAGACCCGTAAACTCCTAAACCCGAGCCCTAAAGTCTAACCCCGAAGCCCTAAACCACCAAACCCCTAACTCCTAAACCCCCAAACCTCCTAAAGCCAAACCCTCCAGGCCGTGGTTCAGGTTGGCTTTACGGCCATGTTCAGCGTGCGGGCCTCTCTAGGGGGCGCTTGCGGTCCCTCCCTTGTTTTCAGGGTTCAGGGTTTAGGGCTTTAAGGCTTTAGGGTTTCAGGGATCAGGGTTAGGCTGTTAGGGTTTTCGGGATTTAATTAGGGTTTAGGGTTTCGGGGAGTTTGGAGCTTGTTTTGGGTTTGTGGCGTTTGGGTTTCGGGTTTCAGAGGCCGTAGGTTCCTGGCTTATGATTTTGGAAGCTGCAAGTTGAGAGTTTCAGATTGGGGGATAAGCATAGAGGAAAGGAGGCCCTGAAGGCACTGAGCACCCAGAAGCGAGTTTAGCGAATCTGCTTCAATTCGAGCCCATGTCGTTCTCTCTTGTCTAAGCTCCTTCTTGACAGTCTCCTAAACCCTGAATTCCTAAACCCTAAACTTCGGAACCTTGATGCTCTGACCAACCTCCTCAACCCTAAACCCTCAACCTAAAACTGAACCACTAAGGCCTAACTCGGGTACTTTATATTCAATATTTGTAGTGATAACATTCCCTTCTTCTTCCGTAAACCCCTAAGCCATACAACCCCCCAACCCCCACTCCAGGCTTCACAGCCGACGATCCTCAGTTTTCCGCTTGAGCGATCGGTCTTCTTGCGAGAGTACTCCTCGAACATGTGCCCCCAAAAAATCTGTGGGCTAGGGTTCAGGGTTTAGGCTTCCAGGGGTCCGGATCTGGGTATGTTGTTGAGAGTTGAGGGTTCATAGGGTGTGGAGTTCGGGGTGAATCGTGCTGTCCTCAAACTATTATTGAAGTCTGCGTCTAATTGAAAGCTGCACGGTGCTGTTCGTGGGTGTGGGAAGCTGCCTCTCCACCTCCCCCGCTGCGTTTGAGTGAGTCACGCGATGTCCAGGAGCTTCGGTTTCGAGCCTCGCTCTTCGCAGGGGCCGTTGGACTTTAGACCCTGGCAGGGGGTGCCCCTTTCAGCAAAATGTAAGCCCATGATTGTTTCGCGTGACCTTTGGAACAGGCACTTGGAGGCCCTTTTGACTTAGTAAGTAGGGTTAGTAAGGTGGGTTATGGGGATTGTAATAGGGCTCCCAGGGGATACTAAGTAGACTTACTAAGCCCTAAACCCTAAACCCTAAACCCTAAACCCTAAACCCTAAACCCTAAACCCTAAACCCTAAGGGATACTAAGTAGACTTACTAAGTCAAAAGGGCCTCCAGGCAGGAACAGAAGAGAAGAGCGCTTCCTCGCCCAGTTCTCTATAAAGTGTCAGCCTACGCCCCACCTGGGTTTAGGGTTTAGGGTCAGCCCGTGGGCCCAAAACTCCCTTCCTGTTTAGGGCTCCCTGATGTGATTTCCTTACAAAAACACTTAACAAGGTAGGGTTTTTTGGGGGGTCCAGGATAAAGGATCCCTTCTCAGCTACTGGAGCTGGTACTATGGTGTCTTAGATCTCTGGTCGGAGGTAACCCTCCGTCGTTTTTGCAGCCTTTCTGGTGAGAATGATGGGAACAAACCCTAAACCCTAAAACTGTTTAGTTGTCATGGCGCATACTGCTTCCTCTTGTATCATTCTTGTTGGCGAACGACTGACAACCCGCCAGCAGGTATGGTACCTTAGCGTACTTCTTGTCGAAGATGTTCGTGGAGGCTTGCCATCGGCAGTTCAGGTTCTGTAGAGTTCTCTCAATTGGCGGACGTCATGCTTTGAGGGGTTGCTGGTATTGAAGGAGGCCTTAGATGGCGGCAACATATTGCAAGTCGATGAGCCAAAGAGTCTGAAGCTGGCTCTTCGCTTGACCCTCACAAGGCTTCCATCGGTAGCTGCAGCCTCGATGCAGGTGCCGTTGGGAGCTGTTCAGGCTTTGTTGGCCCTGGGTATCTCCCATCGCTGCATGAGGCACGGGGAGAGACGTATGCTGCGGGAGGTTCTGGAGTTTGCAGAAGGTGTTGCAAGGCTACGAAAGCAAAGTCACGGATGGTCGTTGCAGACTTTTGCCAAGACTGCAAGATCCTGGACTGACAGAAGGTTGGACTTGGAGCTTGTATATGAGCGCGGTTCTTGTTTGCGAGAGCTCTGATCATGTAATGTTATTATTGTTGACTTTTTGCAGTAGTGCTGTTCTCAGCCTCTCCGTTACTTCTGGTCATGGTTGTTCGCCTGCGCTCATGTCGTCGTCGCTGCCGTCGTGGTGGTGGTTGTCGTTTCCATTGTCAGTTGACTGGCGCTGTTTTCGCAGCCAGGTAGCAGGTAGCAATGATGCCATGCAAAATTCAGATGCATGCTTGCGAGCTACGCAGAGTCAATGGCCCTGCTTATTTGCTGGAGTTCTTGATAAGAGCTCTGATGCAAGCGCTCAGGCAATAACTATTTGCTTGTTGTCGCGTCTACTGCTGCTGCGGCTCCAACTATGCTCGAGTGGGAGTACGTCATTTTTTTGGGCTTTACAGTCAGCTCACTGGACATGGAGCTCATCATCAGGTTTCAGGGAGACTTCTTGGAGATGTGGGCGACGGTGGGCCCCTCAGGTACAAGAAGATATTGGTTTGGCTAGGTAAGAAAGTTCAACAACAGTGATGACGGATATCATCTTTTTGGGGAGGGCAGCAGCGGCAGGAGGAGGATGGGGAGGAGGAAGAGAGGAGGAGAAAGAGGGGGAGGAGGGGGAGTAAGAGCAGAAGCAGCTGCCGTGGTCGCATTCGCCGTTGACACAGCTTCGGGCTTGATCAGAACTGTCACGTACCTAATTGACTAAATTTTGCACGAGCAAGAGGCCCCAATAAGAGAAAGAAGAAGCGGAATCCAATAGCAAACACTGGACCCATGGTTTAGGGTTTCTGTCCAGGCGGTAGAGAGGAGTCCAAAGTTCACCCTGAGGGGTTTAAACGACCATCAGGAAGCAAAGCGGTAGCCCGAGTTGAGCCGTTCCTCAGTATTGCACCACGACGACGGCGACGACTGCTCCTCCTACTACTATTACTATTACTACTACTACTACTACTACTACTACTACTGCTCCTGCTGCTGTTGCTTCTACTGGAGCTGGAGCTAGAGCTAGAGCTAGACCTAGAACTAGAACTGGGACTGGGACTAGAACTACAAGTGGTACTAGTATGGTACTCTAGTCCTGGTGCGAGTGCCAGTAGTACTAGCGCTGACACGAGTACAAGTACTAGTACTGCTGCTGCTGCCGCCGCTGCCACTGCCGCTACTGCTACTGCTACTGCTACCTCTGCACTGCACAGCGCCGCTTTGGCAAAGGTCTGTCTCCTGAACGCTTGCGCAGTCTCTTTCTCGCTCCTCATCGGCTGTCCGGAGCCCAGGGAACCTGCACCAAAGAAAAAGGCGAAGAACCCGCGAACGGAAGACTCTAAGTCCATAAGTTCCAGGAGGCCCGAAGACCTTTTTAGCCATGGGGGCCTCAACCCAGGGCCCAAGGCATCCTAAATGACAGCTGCAAGAGGTTGTTGTCTTCTGGTCACTCAGCTCATCTACCTAACATGACAAGCCAAGAAAGCCACAGATGAATGCTAATCACTAATCACCACACTCAATCCTGCGACGATGCTTCGAACAACCCAGACTGTCAACCACCAGCAAATTTCATTGTAGAATGCGCTAGGGAGCTACCATTAGACATGTCGTAAACCCCCTGAAACAACTTACCGATTAGATAAGGAGTGCATCCCTGAAGATTCAAGGCTATGTGTTTGCTGATCGAGTTTCATTGCTTCCTTACAAACGGAATATCACCTACACCCAAACCCTTCACCATAGAGTCATGGCTTATGTGATCTCAGGATATCTCAGGTATCTCGCCTGATTCTGTCCATCTCAGCCACAAAACCGTGCGAAAGAAAGCCGTCAACCTGAACCTAAATCCGAAAACCTATATAAACCGTGCTTCGTCGGGTTTAGGCCGAAACCCCCAAACCCTAAACCGAAGAACCCGAACCCTGAAGGCCCCCCAAGGATCCCCAAGGTCCCCCCGTTCCTGGACCCCTGGGCTTGCTATTGCCGCTTCTTTTCAGGCATCGTCCGCTTCCCGCGGGAGAGCGGCGCTATCGGCCCTTTAGTCTTCGTGCCGCAGCTCCTGATGTCAGGCCGCTTTGGGGCTTATAGGGGTTTAGGGTTTTAGGGTTTGAGGGCTTAGGGGTTCCTTCAAGAGTTCCGTTCTACAGCTCCTGATGTCAGGCCCCTGTCTTCTAAAAGGTTCAGGGTTCTAGGGTTCAGGGTTTTAGGGTTTAGGACCGTGGGGTTTAGGTGTCAGGCCCTGGTCCCTGGATGCCACCAACGATGGATGTTGGAAAGACATATGGGTGGTTGTCAAAATTATGGTCCCTTTTTGGGACCTTATTATAATACGGCACCCATAATAAGGACCCAAAAAGGGACCATAATTTTGACAACCACCCATATTCCGGTTTCAAGGGCACGGTTTTGCTAGCTCTGAGTGTTGTCTGAGGCTCGGTCTGCGACATTTGCTGCCAGGTACCTTCATCCCCGTGCAAGCGATTCCGCACTTCCTGCGATGGATGCAGTACATCAGCTTCCTGCAGCCCTGAGCTGAGAGAGGCTGTCAATTCCGTAGGGTTCAGGGTTTTGGAGTTCAGAGATTTAGTGTTTAGCATGGAACAGTTCTGAATTCCGGCTAGGAGCTCTGTTTTGCTTTGTCCAAGGTACGCTGTCAAACTGCTCGCAATCGTCGAGTTTCGGAGGACTGGGTGCTGCAGGAAGGAACGTAGCCTGCACAGAATAGATTGTCAAAAGTGGAGTGTAGGTCGAAAAAGGAGATGAAGTATGCACTGTGGGTCAAGAAAGTGCAACATGTAGTTTGTCCCACAGGGCAGCCCAAAGGTAACATGAGTCACGTGCTCTTTTGCCCAGTGCAAAAACCACTGTGGCACAGACAGCGTGACGAGGCATCTTCTCTTCTGTCGAGGAACAGCGCGGCGACCTTCACCAACACCGAAAGCTATGGGAGATACTAAACCCAAACCTTAAGCCTAGATCCCTGGATTCCTTAAACCCGAAACCCCTAAACCCTGAACCTTAAACCAAGACTGTCCGTACTTCGGCCTTCTGCAGAGGACCGACCCGATGTTGCGAAGGCTCATCTTCCGGACCATGGAGGCTTTCGTTATCTCCATCTTTTTCATTAGGGTTTAGGAGCTACTTAAAGGATCATGGGACTTAGTAAGAAGGGTTATAACTAAGGTAGCTATACTTATAACCCCCAATCAAAGGACTCATAACCCTACTTACTAAGTCCCATGATCCTCCAAGTAGGTTTAGAGTGCAGGAGTTCGGGTATAGGGAGTTTGGTGTATGACCCTTTTGTATTCAGTATGTGTTTGTTGGCGCAGTTCTTCCTAAACCCTAAACCCTAAACCCTAAACCCTAAACCCTAAACCCTAAACCCTAAACCCTAAACCCTAAACCCTAAACCCTGAACCCTAAACCCTGAGGGTTACAGGGTTCCGGGCTTTGGGCCCTGGGACTCCGGGTGGCCCCCCGGGTTCCTCTTGTTCTGGGCTTGAGGTGTTCTAAGGGCTCTAAGGCTCAACCCTAAACCCTAAACCCTAAACCCCTAAACCCCTTAAATCCTAAACTCTAAACCCCTAAACCCTAACCCCTAAAGCCTAAAGCCCTAAGCAACCTTAAGGCTCTAGGGCCGGCTGAAAGCCTTGAAGGATCAGTGTCTCTGGAAGTCTCAGGGGTGTTACACCTTCATGAGTTGTAGAGAGTTCGGGGTTTGGGGTTTTAAAGGTCCGCCGGCTTTGAGGGTTCGGAGGAAGTTGAGGCCTCAGAGCTTAGTGGAAGAGTTCGGAGGGCAGGGCAAGGAGCAGAAACCCTGAGCCCGAAGCCCTTCCACCCTGACTTCTCGACCCTATAGAACCCCCAAATACACTGGATCACCTATAGTAGAAGCCCAAAAGTTGGGAAACCCAATAGCCTCAATCTCTCAGAGTAATGTATAGGGAATCCCAGCACTACTTGTCCTTCATCCGGTTTTCAACTTTTGGGGGTGTACTATAAACCCATGATTCTCTGGTAGTTTGCAATCTGGGACCCTACACACCCTGAAACCGCGAAGCCCGAATCCCCGAAGCCGCAGACGGCAAAACCCCTACACAAAGACCCTGCGGAACCCCTTATCAAAACCAACTATATATATATCCGTAAAACTCTAAAGGCAGAGGAAAGGCCCCTATATTCTGTAGAAGCCCAAACCCTCGACCAACCAGTGCCCCAGAAACCCTAAACCTGATTTCCAAAACTCCAAAGCCCAGAGCTTTACACCGGAAACCCGGAACCCCTAGATCCGAAACTCAGAATCACAAAAATCCGAACGCCTCACAAAACCCGACACCCCAAAGCCCGAGTTCCCCAGAACCCCCGAAACTTCAGAAGCTCCAAATGTCAGGTGGACCCCGAGTTGACTGAGGTGTATATCGGGACGTTGATTCTCATGACCGGGCCTTGGGATCCATGGGGGGCTTTTGATGGCGGTTCTAAGTGGGGGGCATCGGTTTTGGGGATTCCGACTATACTCCAACTATCCCAGATGTGTGTTCTAAGTGGGGTAGTCCACGTAAGCTTGCACATGAGCCCAAGCGGCCCAAACAACGATCCCTCGGAGTAGTTCGGTGCTTTCCAAGCGTCTGAGTCTAAGGTGCGTTGTTTTTGCCCTGGTTGCCATCAAGCTCCTCAGTGGCAAAGCTCACAGCGTCTACTGAGATCCGGGGCTTCGATGAGACGGGCCTGCAATCCTAACCCTAAACCCTAATTAAACCTTAAACCCTAAACCCTAAGTCTTGAACTCCTTGAGGCCTACGGGCCTTGAGAAGCCCAAGACCCCAACACCTAAACCCCTTGACACGAAACCCAAAGCTTTGGAAATTTCCGCTTTCACGACATTGGGGGTTCCCTTATAGGCGCCTCTTTAATTCTAATCGTGCTACCTTTGGGTCTTGTTTTTCAGGAGGAGTATGAGGCGACGGTCCTAGAGGCTGTTGCCGGATTTAGTTGTTCAAAGATTCAGGGCTTAGGACTCAGGTGACTATATTTAAGAGGTAAGGGATTTAGGGTTTACAGTTTAGACCCTAAACCCTAAACCCTAAACCCTATAGAGTTCACTGTGTTGGGGTTGAGGCTTATGGGCTTTGGACCCGGACCCCCGCAAGGATCCGATTCGAGCAGGGTTCTGGGAAGCTCCTGGCATTGCCCTACCTTAGGCTACTATATGTGTGAAGGTTATTCTTAACGACCCCAGTGTGGAATTTATAACATAAAGGTAGGCTTTGGTAGGTTCATAATACAAAATCCCCTCACCCTGAGAGCCCTAAGCCCGAAACCCTGCACCCTGAACCCTGGAACACCAAACTCCTGAAACTCTGCATCCTAAACGCGAGGTCCCCCCCACCCCCCGGCCCCTCCACGAATCCTGAGCTTTGCACCACCAGCCCTGCAAGAGCCTTAGAGCCACCACACAGGGCTTCTTGTGCCGGTGTGTTGTCTCTTCGGCGCGCTCGAGGCAAAAAGCTGCAAGAAGTGATGCCTGTTTTGTTTCACAAGATTTCAGGTCTCGATGCAAAGGACAGTAAAGGGGTTTAGCGGTTGCAGTTTGATTGGGGTTCGAGTGTTGGTTTGAAGCCAGCGATCCGAGGGACTAGCTTGAAAAGGGTTCAGGTAATCTTCTGAGAGGAGAAGCTCGGACTACAGGAAAACGAAGGTCTACATCCCACACCCTTTAAGCCCGGGGTTCTGTCTGCAAGAGATCCGGATGCACCCTGACCCTCATGTTCTCGACCCTTCAGACTCTTTCGGCTCCAGGGGTTTTAACAGAGGGAGAGGCATGGAACCCCACGGTATTGCAGGTTGTCTGGGTTTGGTCCTAGGGAGAACGTGAAGCCATCAGCAGGGGTTTAGAAGGGTTTCTCGGAGCCCCCTAGCAAGGATCCTTGCTGTAGTTTAAGTCAGAGTTTTACCAGGTCTTTCGCAAAGCAAGGCAGAACACGGGCGAGAGACGTGGACCCTGCCGGGCGTGCACAGAGCCCAGAGCTCAGTTCTTTGAAAAGGAGCAGCGCTTTGCTAAAGCCGCGGTCATGGGGCCCAAGGAACCCGTTTAGGTGAGCTCCGTAGGAACCTAGGCCTGGGTCCTCAAAAAGAAAAGAATAGCAACTGGTGATATTCGTCGTCCGCCGCCTCCTCCTCATCGTCGTCATCATGCCCCTCACTATCGTCACTGCAATCCGTGTGGCCTATGGCAGTGATACTTGCTCACTTCGTGGTCGTGGCATGTTCTACTTAGTCTTCTCCAAGACAGCACAAGGCTGCCGCCGGACGCATGCGCGTCTCCCTTGCGACACCGGTGAAGGCAGTGGCGCCGCGAGCTTACACGAAGCTTTGCCCAGAAAGAGCAATGGTGATGGTCGTGACAATTCTGTTGCTGCTTCTGCTGCTGCCACTGTTGATGAAGATGCTGGTGATATGAAGATGATGACGATGATCATGAGCGTCAGGATGACCGGTAACATGACGATCACAAAGGAGCACAGTGCGGTGTGATGGTGGTGATTCTGCTGAGCACCCCATGCCCCAAAGCCCAAATCTAAAACCATCTAATGACCCAATGTCCCGAAGCCTGAGATATTATAACCGACACTCTGAGCACCAGCAACATCTTGCACCCTTATACCTATAGCCCTAAACCCCTAAAATCCCTAAACCCTAAGCCCCTCCATGGGGTGAAAACGGGGGCCTCCAAGCGCGACGTGAGGCCTGGAGGCGGAAATCGCTCCGTGTCACGGCCGATCAAGGCTCGGAAGCTATTTTGTCTCCTAGCTTCTTTGTTTTAATGGAATGTGTCGAGGATATCTGAAGGTTGTGTAGGGTTTTGCAGGAATTTCTGGGAGTTTCTGTTTGAGGGCTCTTAGGGTTTAGGCCTAGTGCTCTCAGGGCGGTGGTAGGCTTTGACAGTTGCGAATACTTTGGCCATGCTACAAGGCATCAGTCATAGATTTTTTGTACTATGATCCTAAACCCTAAACCCTAAATCCTAAACCCTAAACCCTAAACCCTAAACCCTAAACCCTAAACCCTAAACCCTAAACCCTAAACCCTAAACCCTAAACCCTAAACTCCTTCATCGCCAGGGCCCGCTGCTCCGCGTGGCGCGGGAGGTGACGCGCGAACGCCTAGGCAGCGAAGATGCCCATGGCTTTGGCCGGGTGTGCTTCTCAGTGAGGGACAATCTGGGGTGTTAAAGGGTGAGGGTTTGGCGGTTTGGGATTTTGGGAGGAAGAAACGAGTTCCGAACTAACGTGGGAACTCTGGTTCCAGCGCCCTACAAGTAGTTGGAACCAGGAGTGTTTACATCAGGTTCCTGTGCCAGACCTTGTTCACGTGGCTTTTATCAGCCCTTTATCCGAGCGCCCCACGGAGCCCAAGCCCTCTTTTGAGTAATATACTTGCAGTCACATGAAGGATCCTTCTAGACTTCAAGGAGGATGTCGTATTCGGGACCCGGCTATCGTTCCAGGAGTTGTGCTTGCCTACAGCATATAAGGATCCCTTTATCATGCATGGGACGTTCCTACTTTTTTTAAAGGATCCTTGGGTAATTTATGACATGTTTCTTCTCACGGGGTAGTTCACTCCCTGGGTGGCCCCCTCGGAGCTCAGGTGCCGCTGGTTCAGGTGAGTCGAAGTAGCGTGCTCGACGAGGTCAAAAGCCGCGCCGCGGCCTCGGGAGATACAGAGACTAGGGTTTAGGGTTTAGGGGTTTGGAGAGGTTTTACTGCAACTGACAAGGGACAGTAGCTGCTAACTTATCCAACACCCTGCTCTAGAGGAATCCAGGAAGTGATTGCACACCGGGGCACGTTGGATGTCACGACTTGTTGTTTCTGTCCGACAAAATTGTCATTTGCTTTTTCTTTTGTTAAATGTTCCTTAACGGTCAAGAGTGATCACACGGGTTTAGGGTTTAGGGTCTCGTAGGTTTGCAGCCTCTGATCGTTTCCTTGATCCGCCGAGGTCGCTGAATCGACTCCGCACCCTGCCTGGGTGGCAGTGCCCATCACGCAGTGCCCGGGTACCGGGACCGGGACGCCTACATGCATTGCTAGGAACAGGCTACATGGGTAGTAGAACTAGCTGGAGATGTAAATATACAGAGAAGTACCTGAATCGAACAAGTCTATCAACCAATCAATCAATCAATCATTCGATCAAACAATCAATCATCCAATCAATCAATCAATCATCCAATCAATCAATCAATCAATCAATCAATCAATCAATCAATCAATCAACGAATCAATCAATCATTCAATCATTCAATTCGTTAACCAGTTATCCAATGAATCGGCCAATCAACCAGTCAGTTTTCGAAAAAGATATACATGAGTGCACACATAAATACAAGTGATAAATCCTAAGAAGATAGACAGGTAGATAAACGTGCATGAAAGCACGACCCCGAAAACCTGTCCTGAAGTCTTGAACAGCAAACGCCACACTCCAAACCCAGAAGCCCTAAAAGCTGAAATCCCTGAAGCCTAAACTAAACTCTAACCCAATGCGACCCTAATTCCTAACTCCCAGCGCCTCAACCCTCACCCCTGAACCCCAACACCTCAAACCTCACCCCTGAACCCTAACCTCTAAACCCTAACCCCGAAACCCTCAACCTTAGGCCCTTAGCCCCCTTCGCTCCGTAAGCCTGGAGCCCTGCAGGAAGGGCCATTCAGTTTGCGCGTACCAGAGCATCGGAGATAGGTGGACGGCTTAGGGTTTGGTGTTTACTGGTGTTCAGGGTTTCGGGCTTGGGGTTAAGTGTGTGTTTTGTCATGTGTCTTTGTTTGGTTTTCGTTTTGCGACGACTTCTTTGTAGTGGCTTTTACAGTGCTTCCTGTAATAATTTTCTTGCTAAGTGCTGCTTCAAACTACGGTCACTACCATTCTGGAGACAGACTGACATTTTGTGCGATCGGTATAAATTTTGTCTCTCCTTGCATTATGCCCACATTCATCATGTTGCTGAGTGCCTTCTGACCACGTACTTATTGCTGCTGTGGGCTCGAGACATTCTGGGCAGGGGTTAAGGGATTAAGTTTAGGGCTTAGGCTGTAGGGCTTTGGGGGAAATGTTTTGGGCCAGCGACGGCACCTGTTGGGAGGATCAGGATCAATTGCAAAAGCGCAGACAGAGATCTGTGGAAAGCAGCGTGCAGTACAGGAAGGTAGTCGGGCAACCAGCATGATAATGGCAGCAGTGGTTAGAACAGTGGAAGCTGCGAGAACCCTAGTTGCCTACAGTTTTCGCACTGGGCAGCGAGGAGACTCTCATGGCCGTGAATCGTGGACGAACTATTCAGACTATTCACTCTCTGTACGAAGCCCAAGAGCCACCAAAGCCCAAAGCGAACAGGCACGACTATTGCCACTATTGCCATACTGGATGATGTAATGTTCGTGTAATTATTATTAATGTTGTCGTGGTCCTTCTGACCTGCCCGTCCAAACTTTCAACCCAAACCAAGAATCCCCATACCTGAAATCCCAAAACCCTAAACCCTCAACCTTGAGACTTACTTAGACCCTTAATATAACCCTAACCCCTACACCTTAAGCCTTTGGGCCTAAACGCCTGAGCCTTCGATCCTAATCCCCCTTAACCTGACATCTTCGACGCAAAACCTTCTTAACCCTATACCCCGAACCCTAAGCCTTAA